ATCATTTCATAGCTTTATTTAAACTCTTTCTTATTTACATTCATATATTTTTTTTTTCTTCTTTCATTTTTCCATCTCACACCTATACGTGCCATCCTACACATCATTCAACACCCATCACATAGTTCAATCCATTATATTCTTATATCTTCACTATGACATCTTCCTCAACTATTACTCCATCATTTTTAATAATAGCCGATAGTCACGGCAAATGTTTAAAACCCACTATTATTACACCTCATTATTGTATTAAAACATATTCTATTTCGGGTTTACAATGGTCTAACAAATACGATCACAACTTAAGTTTGTTTTCTTTAATGCAAACAAACACATTTGCTTCTTTAATTTCTACCACATCTAACATTTTATTTCTTGTCGGAACAAATTCTGTTCGACATTTACCCGCAACAGATGTCATTCAACAAATTGATCAATTTCTGCTATTTCTTTTTTCTCATTATTGTCATCTAAAACAAGGAAACATCATAATAACAACTTGCCTTCCTTGTTTAAAACCATCTACTCGATATTCGAATATCTCATTCTTAAATGACAACATTGATCATTACAACCACTTATTACTTTCACTTACAACAAAACATAAATTTTATGTTTTGGATTTACATTTATCATTCGAATGGTTAGGTTCTGATCGACTTCATATTGATTATATCTATCGTCATCAGTTTGCTACCATTATTTTGAATTATATCAATAACATGAATCTAAATCAAAATGTCTCTGCTAATGTTTCAACTCGTTCACGTGAATCTGTTTCTGTTCGTAATAGAAAAAGAAATTTAAAAATTAAACAAATTCAACGAAACTTTACTTTGATTCGGGATACTTCTTCAGCATGGCCATATAAACATATCAAGGATTTTTTGAAACACAATAATGTTCGATTTGGTAGACTATCGATTCTATCAAATCATAAATTACATTTACATTTTAATAATCTATCACAAATGATACATGCTGATCAGGTGTTAACTATCAACACGTTTAATTATGATAATTTCTTTCATTGGATTCACCACAATTAATACAATTTTTTCTGTTTTTTTCTTTTTTTCCTTTCATACTTTTGTTTTTGCTCAACGTTTATGTTTTTCGTTTCCTCGTTAATTTCTATCGTGTTATTTCACATCTCTCCCTTCATGAATCATTCTTTTCTTACTTTGACTGCCCTGTAGGGCATGTCAAGCTTATGATTGGTACTTTCTGGGAAGGGGAGGTGTGAGCGCCTGTAGATGTCGTTGGTTATCATCTACAGTGTTCCGC